CCCTCCCGCCGGAAAATACGTACGAACGACTGACGTAAAGACGTGCGTCAAAACAATGCATGTATCAGCTGATGTTTTCTAGCGGATGTCGAGGCGACGCTCGTCTCGTAGATGACGCATGTTTACGTTCAAGCATTCTCCTTCTCTTCTCTCTCTCTCTCTCTCTCTCTCTCTCTCTCTCCTTTTTCTTTTTTGACAAATAAAATCTCGCACAAGAATCTGTGAATCCTCCGCTCAAGTCGGTTCATCTTTTTTTCGTACAAAAATGTCGGATGACGAGCGACACTCGGATGTGAGCATTCGTCAAAAGGAATTTAAATATTAATTTCGATTCTTCATTCTCCCTTAAATATATCACGTGAAATTCGTACGGGAAAAACATGAGTTCTCCCTCGGAAGAACACGCGCGCGACACTCGCGGTCGCGATTACGACACTAACCCCAAGAAAGCACGATCGAGAGATCGCTAAGATCGGATGATGATAACGATCCCGTCGCGATCATCATCGAGGATCCGCAAGGACGCGATTCTCACAAGGCCGCGCACAGGCGCAAATCTCGCCGAGAGAAAAATGGGCGTTCACTCCGCGCGCCGTAGACTCGCCGCTCTGGAAACGAGACGAACGAAACCGTCCGAAGCGTCAGACGAAACCTAACCTCGCGGCCGTCGCCGCCACCGTCGTCGGGACGAAAGAGATACACGATATATCCATCTCCCTCCGCAGGTCGAATCGATCATCCCGGCCCGTGTGTGCCGATCGTGCGAGTCGCGAGGGTTCATACCTTCGTCACGGCCCTTATCGTGGCTCTGCGTGCCTGGCCTGCGTGTCGATCCTCTCGGACTCGAGGAAGCGGAGCGGTGCACTTTAACGCGCGCGCGTGACCCACGATAATACGCTTCTCTCGCCTCGCTTTTGTTTTTCACACGACTACGCGGCGCGGTCGAACCGTCATAGCCGCGAGCCACCGACCGGGCATCGACGGCGGGGATGGGACGGAAGGGAATAGGGAGCGAAAGGGGGCAGGGGGGAAGTATGGCACCGTGTCTCTCGTCCCGTGCACGTGCCGCGGGGGAGACGCACTTACGTCGCTCGTTTCGCCGAGTGGCCGACGTGCCGGTGGCTCACCGTTTCCCCGATGATCGCGAGCTTCCTTCGTCGCGACTACCGTTCACCCGCCGACGACAAACTCCGGTGATCCGACATTTTTTTTTTTTTTTTACAAACGCGACCGTCCGTCCTACCACTCCTTCCACCGTTCCGTCTTTTGTGACGTCATCGATTCAATACTTTTCGCCGCGGCGGCGCTACCGAGAGACACGTCGCCCGTCGGATGGCGCCACACGCGTCGTTTCGCCGCGGGATCTTGTTCATTCGTTGCGTTTTACAATCGAATTTTTATTTGAATAAATAAGAATCTAGGTATTTAATCTGATGCGATGTAATATATATTTATTTGTTTCTTTCTTGTATTTTATTGTGAAAGCAGCTTACAATTTTAATTAGTTAATTAAAATTACATTAAATAAGAACGAAAGTCTAATCAGTTTTGAATAATTAATCATACATTTCTATGTTCTTTCCAGTTTCTTTTCTCTTTCAAAGAAAGAATAAAATAAAAATAGCGTAAACATAAAAAAAATTATTCACATTTTTTTTACATTTCAGGTGACTTCAACAGTCGGCGATGTCTGATTACCCCTCCAGTTTTGTCGTACGACCCAAGATGTCGCCATTTTGGCATTTTAAAGTGGCCGTATGATCGTATTTTTACCAATATAGATCAACTTTAATCTCGATTTAACTAGTCTACTAAGTCTGCTTTTAGTTTTAGAAAAATTTAAAAAAAGGTGTTAATTAAATCGAAATTATATCTAGACAGAAATAGACATTTAAGAAAAATGTATTATTTGTAGATCAGTGATTAATTATTTATTTGTAATAAATTACTATCATTTAATAATGTTTAGTGATTAATTACAGAGTTTGTGATCGCCAATATTTCAATATTAAGATTTTAGTGGTTAAATACTTCATTGAGATTTAATACTATTGTAATGTAACATAATAAAGTTTTGACATGTACTTTTGATTAATATGATAAAACAGGTAAAGATTATTTAGATAAAATATTGATATTAATATTCGAATATAATACCTCGATCTTTGTTGTAACATCTTACTCTATATAAATAAATAAAATAAAATATATTAAAAAATTTCAATTTTTACTTTTTTATAAAAATTTATTAATATTTATTAATTATATTTAATATTTTTAAAAATGTTTTTACATAAATTTTATACATATTTTTTTTTATAATATTTTCAATAGTAGTGCTTTCATAATTTTTTTCCAGCCAGCAATTCAATTTTGTGTCAAAACATCACTGAAATATTATTAGTATTTAATTATTGTATTTGTCTTAATTTTCAATAATAAATTTTCTAAGAGCATCACACGCGTTCTCGATAACAATTGTGTTTGGCCTCGCATATTTCAAACAACTTAAATTCGGATCAGCTATTAATTTACTTGAAGTCATTTGGTAAACTCATACTCTGATGATTCACATTCATTTTATCTAACAAGATTCTTTATTTATATCACAAGATTTCTCGCTAATATGCGCTGGAACGAAAACGGACAGCTAAAAACTTTACGATTTAACGTCGCTAAATTTAGACTACGTTCTGAATAAGAGTCACGTTTAAATAAATTACGATTCCGATGCTATTCGGAATTATCTCTCGACATTTCTCAAACTCACCTCGAACGATGAGTAATTACGCGCAACGTTTATCTTATCGCTACGCGTTGTTATCACGCTAAGAGCTAGATACGGTCGGGCCGATTTTAGTTGATGTCGCAAAGAAACTCAGAGTCGCGTGTCCTTTTGCACCAGAATGGATCTCCGAGTGTCCGTAGTACCGCTACTTGCGATACTCCTTCTCGCAAAGTGCGAAAGTCCAATTACGAAAAACGTGACTGTAGATTCGGGCACGGTTAAAGAGAACAACGCGACGTCGAAATCGCTGAAATTGTGTATCATGTGCTTTTGTACAGGTAGCTTCAAATTATTAAAAATAATCGCATAGAAGACTAATATTCGACGCCCACGACATTACCACGTCAAGCATTTTTTTCCCTTCGAATAAAAAAATTCATAAATAATAAGAATAATAATTTAAGCGCGCTAAAGAAACACACTTCTCTTTAGACAGCTTTATAGACTGCAGCAACCGAAACTTGGAAACTCATTTCGACAAGGACCAATGGCTGAACATCAAGGCCAAAGTAGTTTCGTTCGAGCATAATCATTTGGTGCACGTGAGGCCTTTCCCGAGGACAGTCGTGGAGAAATTGATTCTGCGGAAGAACCGTATCATCTCGATCGATTACCACGCCTTCAAAGAGCTCGTTAATCTCACCGAATTGGACCTGAGTCATAACCAGCTCACGTCGCGATTGCTGCAGCCACATGTCTTTGAGGTAATCGCGGCGATATCGCGAATTAACGCGTTACTCCGATCGCCGAACGCAGTCGCCTCTGGTCTATGATTCATGAGTCAACGAGAGAGATTTAGCGTCTCGCATTTCCGATCACTCAATCGAAGATTCTATTTGGAGATGTACGATCAATCGTTTCGAAACAGCGAGATTTTTCCCGATTTTATTTCAAAAATTATCGTTATCGCACTTATTAGAAACTCGACGAGGGAGGGATAAGCTTCGAAGAAGAAAGAATATCTTTCTTCGTTCGAATTAGACACGGATAAAGAAAATTCGTGGAAAATTTATTTCACAAAGTTTCAGCGTATTTCTCAAATTCATTAATTTTTAGAATTGATAAATATAGTAATGAGACATGCCTCGAGATAAGACTATTAATTCATATCTGATTGATGCTTCTTTGTATCGAGTATATACGCAATTTTTGTATCGAGATAAAATATTTAAATTTTTTTTTAAATAAACTGTATCAGCCCTCGCTAATTTTTTACAAAAATCAATTATCATTTATCTTCATTTTTTTTGTTCATCCGCACAAAATTAATAAAAACAATTTTGCAGAAATATTAAAGCATTTGAGATCCCGATATAATTTTATTGAGTCACCAAAATCATTAAAAATGCAAAAATAATTACGTCATAAATTTTTGCCATCATGTCTTATGGAATTATGTTGACGGTCCAATAAAATTATTTTCAGATTTGTATTTAGCCAAATTTTTAGCTACTTGAGCAAAACTATTTTGCCTATGTGTTATTTTGAACAATGTTATTACCGATCGTTTCAGGGACATTTCTCGCCAGAGGCGTACGAGCCTTTATCAAACTTGCAAATTTTGAATCTGAGCAACAATATACTCCAGTGGCTGCATCAGAGTATATTCGAGCACATCGCCGGCCTTAAAGTTCTGAATCTGTCCGGGAATCCTTTCCGCGTATTCGACTATCGTACATCCATAGCGATCAGCAGTTTATCATACCTGGAGGATTTGGACATCAGTTACTGCGAACTCAAAGAACTGTCACACCTTCAGTTCCACAATGCCAAGTGAGGAATCGAGAAATACGATGATTACAGTCTCGTTTCGTTCATAATTGATAACCGTTTCCCGCAGATATTTAAAGAGGCTAAACTTGACCGGCAATCAGCTCACGGTTCTTCCCAGACCTCTGGAGGAGGCTGGAGCCTTGGAGTATCTCAGTTTGGATGCCAATCCGATACGCGTTATCGATCGCACGAATCCCTTTCCCAACTTGACGAAGCTGAAGGAGCTCAATCTTCGCGAGATGCCGAATCTGACGTTGATCGGCAACGGCGGATTGTCGGCGTTAATCGGTCTGGAGAGTCTCCACGTGCAGAACTGCAAGAAGTTAAAACACATCGAGGAATACGCGATAGGACGTGAGGCGTCCGCGGTACGTTTTATGGAACAGAAACGCGATAGAATAGCCGACGGTGAAAATACACGGTTGGTGCTCAGCAATAACAACATAATTTACTATATAATATTACCCGCAGACCGTCGAGGGCACGATGTGGCCGCCGTTGAAAAAGCTAATTCTATCGTCCAACGCTCTCCAGTATCTGCCGATGTTGCTGGTCGGGAGGTGGGACAAGCTCGAGGAATTGCGCCTGACGCACAACCCCTGGAGCTGCGATTGCGGTAATCAATATCTGGTAAGTTCCGATGATAACGCGACGTGCGGAGAAAAAAGAGATGGACGAGAACGTCTCTCCTGAGCCGCTCGCTTCGTTTTGATCGAATCGTTATACACGATTGCGACTGACGAATTTCTCTTGTAGGTTGCGTCTGTCTTGCCACAGTATGGCGAAAGACTGATGGGAAAAGAGGTCGACGAGCTCACCTGTTCCGCACCGCCGGAACACGAGGGGAAGAAGCTCACGTCCTTGGCGCATCGACACCTACGCTGCCCGGATTTGTACAACGCCAGACCGGAAAGGGATGCTGCGATACTCATGGGGGTGTTGATCGCTGTGCTCGTCTCGATTCCGATCAGTATGGCGTTCTTTGTCCTCTGGCGACGCGGCTTCTTCTTCTGCGGGTCACAGGGCCCCGCCACTTTCTCTCGTGCTTTCTACAAACGCGCGTCCAACGACGATGATTAATCCGAATTGTGTATATATTTTTTTTCTCTTTCTTTAACAGGATTGCAGTCGCACTATTTGCATTATTTGCTATGCTTTGTTAAGCGAAAATTGAAAAACAACAAAAAGAAGTTTTACTAAAATGCCTACAAAGTTAGCCGAGTAAATATTTGAAAATACTTTTTTGTTGGATTATTAGAATAATTGTAAATTAGTTGCTAAAATATCAAAAATTGTCGCCATCGTGTTTTAGAAAATTATTTTGATGATCCAGCAAAATTATGATTTTCAAATCTGTATCTGGCCAAATTTTTAGATATTTCGGCAAAATCGTTCTCTCCATGATAGAATAATCGCGTTAAGTTACAGCGGGATCCGCATTGCCGGATGACGCATCGAATATCTAGTCTACTTAAGCTTCTTCAAATATGTTTAGCATATCTTTTATATATTGTTTCTTTTGTATATGTTTTGTTAAGATATCGGTAAAGCGTCGCGTAGTGCACCGTGTAATGACGAGCGCACACCGCTGAAACGCAGTCCGCCGCGTTCCAGAGTTGTACAACAAAAATATATCACATGGCGTTTCGCAATAAACAACTTGAAAATGAATGCGTGCCTTCCTGTCTTGCTTTTCGCGTCTAACGAGTCCCCGGAGGATCCATGAGCCCGACGAAGGACGTTCCCCGTGCGCGCCGAAGCCCCGGACGATGGATTTTCGGCTTTACAAGCCGAGCCGAACGCGGGAGGGCGGCTCACCTCCCCCCCCCTTCCCGACAAATGCGCCGGTAGGTCTCGCGCGCGCGCGAGGGGGTGAGGCGAGGTGAGGCGAGGGCGAGATGAGGGTTACGCGACGCCGAGCGGCGCCGAGCGACGCCGAGCGACGCGGGCGAACGCACACGGACGGACGGACACGCGCCGGTAACGCAATTACCGCGACGTTAATTTACTCAATAATCGCAGAAGCAACCCCGTCTAAATGTCGGCACGCGTCCCTCGACCCTAATCATAGCCGGCCGTCGTCACGCTACGACCGACAGCGGGGAGATTGTCGGAGATACGAAAATCCATCGAGAGATTAACGCTACGGCCAGAGTATAAGATGCCTCTTATCTCTTTCCACATTTTTCTTCTTTCTTTCCTTTTGTTTTTTAATTTATTACTTATCCATAAACTTTCTTCGCGCGATTTTGAGGATAAAGTGTTTATAACAGAATTTCAGTAGTACACGTTAACGTATATATATATCATTAATTTTCTGTTAAATTGACATTTTTCGGAAAATTGCTGTTTAGCACTTTGTTTATCATTTGAATTTATTATCCACGGGGATGATGTAGACTACATCATCTCCATCCTGAGCGCCGCGCGGCTGTACCGCCATTTGGGAAGCGCCCCCGTATATGGGATCCGCTAAGTAATTTAATCTCGCGCGTTTCTGCTCGTCCTCTCGTCCAAGATTCAATACCGATAGGACGCGATGCGAGGCGGGGTATCGTGCATACGAGGAACCCGGGGTGCGCTTCGACGAGGTGGTAGCGCGCGGCGGAACGAGATTAAAACGAATCGGAGCGTCCGCGAGCACGACGATGCCACGTACGAAGGTCGTATCGCGTTCCGATCGGACACGACAGTCGATCCTCCATCCCGAGAGAGTATTGACACTTTCGAAATTAGTTAAGGCCTTATCCGCGATAAAGAGACGGAGGGAAATGGTTGCCAAAGCGAGGGATCCACTCGGCGCAGAGCCGAGAACCGTCGCGCGTCGCGTCGCGTCGCGTCGCGTCGCGTATAACGGATGGCTGTACCGGGGGTGAGCGAGGGTTTTCGTAACGTACTCTTACATATACATGCTTGCACTTCACATTATTATCTGCGTGTGAGAGCGCGACAGAATGGAGAGGAATCGCAAATACAGAAGGATCCGTTCCTCCCGCTCCTCCGCCGCCACCGCCACCACCATCACCACCGCCGTCGCCGCCGTCGCCGCCGCCGCCGCCACCGCCGCCGCCGCCGCCGCCGCCGTCGCCGT